GAATATGGAGAGGGGAATAGATTGGAAAGTAGTTATAATTCTTTTGGTGCTACAATTACAAGAAGTGAAAATGGAGGAGGAGCAAGTAGTCACAAGTTCAAAGATGTATAGTTGCTGGGGAGGATGCTACAATAATTGCTTTCTTCTTCAGAAAACTGATGATTCAGCTCAAAGTTTTCAGTGTTATTTCAACTGTTTGAACAACTGCACCACTTCTTCTTCTGCTTTGGATTTTCAGAGTGTCTGTAGGGGTGGTTGTTACTTGGAGATGTGCATCCCACTTAGCTTTGGTAATTTCTTTTTTTTTTTTCTTAATAATCTCTTTCTTTCTTAAATCATTTTTATTTATGGGTTAATTTCACAAACGGTCATTGAACTCTATTGGATAAAGTTCAATTATCTTAATACAATAAGAAACTAAAATAGTTTTCTGATTTTATTGTTATAGCAAATAAAGTTACACGTAAAATTATTAACTCCGAGTTTGGGAGTGGGGTGGAAATAAACTCATCATTCTTCATGAGAAATAACTTAATGGTTGGACATTCAACTTCTATTCGGCTGAAACAAAATTATTAAATTATCTTTTACAACGAAAAAATTGCTTAACTTTACCTAAATATCAAGAAAGTTTCTAAACTATTTTTTTTTTAACAAAAAAATCACTCAACTTTGTGTAAATATCACTGAAAGTCTAAAGGAAATAAAGGAGACATTTTTTATGATACTAGAAAAAAATTGATTGATCTTTTTGTTACATTATCTTTTTTTCTTTTTCTTATATTCTGGTTTCTAAGATAATATTAGACTTATAAAAAAAACTTGTTTGGCAGTTGGTGCAAATGTGGGAGATTGCTTGGGCAGCTGTACAAACCTATGCAAGTTTTTCAGTAACTTTACAAAGATGCAACTAAAAGTTTAGTCATTTTGCTTACTATGTGTGTATCTGAGAACTTCAAATTAAAAATGCTAAGTGAAATGACTAGCTTACCTTCATGTATTCACGAATACTTGTTTTGTTTCTTGTCATTTTATTCTATTCTTAATTAATTCTACTAGTTTCTAAAATATTTGAAATATCCCATTTTTATAGTGGAATAAATTAACTTGTACCATCAGTCTAGTACTCTCTCCGGTCCACTTTAAGTGATTTTTTTCTTCTTTTCACACATATTAAGGAATTTATTTTTTAGCATTAATTAACATTGAAATGATCATATTAACCTTAATTTGCTCAATGAAAATATAACAAACTACTCTGAGGCTCTTCACTCCAAGGACAACTTTCGGAAGAAGAAGTTCATTCCTTCTTGGTATTTGAAAAAATCAAAAATTGTGGACCATAAAAGAAAAGGCCAAAAAAGGACCAAAAAATCACTTAAAATGAACCGGAGGAAGTAGTATTTAGTAATATTACAACAAAGAAGTATCATTGGAATTGAACAAAAATGAAGAAAAAGTAATTGATTCACACCAGAATTGATGTTGGTAGTTGAAAAAAATAATGGGATGAGAATAAATCCTTGGTTTGGGGTTTGGGGGGGAGGGGGGGGGGGGGGGAGGGTTGGAGAATTTAGTAGTTAGGGTTCTCACTTTAATTAGCTTCCCAACACTCTTCTAAGCCAATTACAAATGAATCAACGTCAGGATTAAGAAATTCAAGAGAAAAGTTTTCGAGCTAATTAAGCCTGTAGTTATTAATACTACTACCTGTTTAGGGTTTACCAACCAACCAACAATCTCTTGAACTTCAAAGTGAAATCAATGCATAAATGACTTAGTATTACATTCCACTTTACGCATATCAAAAGAAGACAAATATTTTTTTGTTGTTATACCCACAATATTTATTACTTATTTCAAATCATTTTCTCAAATTCAATAAAATATGCATCAATTAATATGAGTATCAGGTAAATTTCACTTCATTTATTATTTTTTAAGAGAGGCATGAAAAATCAAAACATGCCAAGTAAAGATAGACGGAAGGAGTATTCTTTGTCCTTTGGAAGCATTACTCAATTTTTGTTCCAAATTCAAGAATATGACCAATACAATTAATTGATCGGTGTGTCTCTCTTATTACTTTATTTTATCCCTCTTCTTGTGACCACTTCTAATCATGTAGCTATTCCATATATATAAGAATGCTACTCCCTTTCGTTTACCATAAGTGATTTTTTGGTTGTTTTTACACAAATTGAGAAAGATAAAATTACACAATAATGTACTTCATAAGTTGATCTTGCATTATTTTAGCCCACTTACAAGTTTGCAAATGCGTCGAAATATCAATAAGCTTATATCTGAATTTTTTCAGTTTTTTTATTCTCTATATCTTCAAGCGTGAAACATTTTCATTCTCCTTTTTTCTCAAGTTTCTACATACCTATCACAACTACATAAATTCAAAAACAGACGCGAGAAATCTAAAATCTCATCTTCTTTAATGCTAATCTTGTTAGTTTTTGAATATGATTTTGTGAGAAATTTGGAGTGGGTATTGTTAGAACTTATTATAATTAGTCTAAGTAGACTGTATATAAAGTTTGAAGTCATCTAGTGGAGATTTGGAATAATTTAATCTAGAATTGCAAGTGAAAATCGTACAAAAAGTTCGTCAGAGATGCTTATACACTTTTATACAAAGAGGTATATTATATATATAGTTGTATAAAAGTGTATAAAGATGTATAAGCACAGTAGTGAAAATGTTAGTGATACACCATGTATATAGGTGTAGTAGTTGAAAAGAAGAAGAAGAAGAAGAAGAAGAAGAAATGTGAGAAATCCACCAAATACCTGTAAATAATGTATCAACCTTGTATAAAATAATGTATACGAGGTGTTTATATACTATTATACATTACTTATACAATATTATACACTATTATACAAATAAATCCTATTAATAGAGCTTCACAGGTTTTTCTTCTTCTTTGGACATCTTCTGAAATTCAACTCAAATCTAGCTCAAATCTGCTCCAAGTCACTTCAAATTTGAGTTTTGAACTCCCCTTGACGATCCCAACCAATTGGGCCAACACCCAATCCAAACAACTAACAAAATCGAAAAATCCAATTTCTGAAATTGAAGCTTCGAATGACCTTTAATGGTGACTCCAAAAATAATAATTCTCTTTAGTGATATATTTTCTTCTCATCTTAATAGTGATTATCAACTATGAATCTGGAAGGAGAATTGAAGAATATATATTATGGTAGAGAATTTTTGGGGTGCAAAGTCGCGAAAAAGGAAGAAGAAGAACGAAGAAAAGAAAAAAATAATTAAATAGGGTGGGCTAACTGGTGAAAAGTAATTTTCAGATTATATACAACCTGGGCCATATCAGGTAAGGGCTTCAAACGTGGGCCATTTTTTTATGGATTGTTGGGCCAAGTGACAAGGAGCGTAATAACCCCCATTAAGAAATCCACCTTTTAACATTAATTAGCAATGATATTGATCAGTTAACCTTTACTATCTCTTCACATAAACACTCCTAACGCATACTCCAACACTATTACTCCAAGGACAATATAAAAAAAAAAATAATTAATTCATTTGGAATCTAGAAAAATCAGATATTTTGAATCAAAGACCAAAAAACCGTGGAGCGGAGGGAGTAGTGTTTAATTGCATAACATAATAGTACTAGCCTATTTCCTTAAATTTGACCAAAAAAATTGGATCTGGGAGGGAAAGAAGCCTCTACCATATAGACTTTGATGCAATTGGTAGTTAGAAGGAATTAATGTGAGAGAAACCTGGAAGGAATTGGTAAAGTATTAATTGGGTTGTAACCAGTGAACATCCTTTTCTTTGTCCCAAAAAGAACATGTTTGACCACCAAATTGAAAAAAGTTTTGGTTTAGTTGGGCAAGGTTGCATTAGGAAAATACTCCTCCAGTTCTTTCTATGTCATTTTAGCTTTAAAAATTTTGATCCAAAATATTTGTCGTATTATTACGAAACAAAAAGAGGAAATAATTTCCTATAATCACTTACAATATGAATAAAAAGGAAACGATCTTACAAAGATGTCAAGTGCTTTATTTGCCGATCTTACAAAGATTTCACAGGAGTAATTTTTATTAATTTCCTGTGAAATGATCATATAATTAAAATGATATTTGTACGGGGCCATAATATCAATCTTCCCAAATCAATATGGCATTAATTATTCTTTTTCCAGTTCCACCATTACTACTGCAAGAAGGCATATATATAAAGTTAATCATTCATTTAAAGTAGAGACAAGGGCAATTTAGTTAAATATCTAATTTTATTTATTAATGTATCAAAACCTTAAACGACACATAAAAAGAAAGGTTAGAAGGGAGTAACAATTACTCCATCTGTTCCACTTTATGTGAACTTATTTCCTTTTTGGTCTGTTCCAAAAAGAACGACCCCTTTCTAAATTTGGTAGCAATTTAGCTTAAATTTACAATTCTACCTTTAATGAGAAGCTTTTATAACCACACAAATACTCTGGGCCCCTTTTTGACTTGTTTAGCACCACAAATTCCAAACGTTTTCATTTTTTCTTAAACTCCGTGCCCAATCAAACAGGTTCACATAAATTTTTTGACTTGTTTAGCACCACAAATTCCAAACGTTTTCATTTTTTCTTAAACTCCGTGCCCAATCAAACAGGTTCACATAAATTAGAACGGAGGGAGTAACTTTTATCGACTTTTATTCTTCGAGTAGAGTTATTATTTAATGTTTGGAAATTGAAACAACAGTATTTTGTACGAGGATTGAATTTGTTCCAAGTACCTTCGAAGTGAGAGCAATCCAAATTTTAATCCATCTTTCAAATTAGAATTGGTATTGAAAAAATACTCCATCAACTGGCATTCTAAAAAATCAAAGTTGTTCCAATTATCTACTTGGAACTTAGATCAAGACTTTTGATTATTGAGCTCATTCCTTTGGAAGAGAAAATAATATATAGAAGCATTAGAGTAGACCAAAGTAAATAAATCCCCTATTAATGAAGTAGGTGCTTTTATTTTCTTTTTCAGGATGAAAAATTGAAAAGTATACAGAAGGACAAGTGCAAAAAGACCAATGTACATCATCCAGTCCGAAAAACAAGTACACAATTTACCAAATACAAATCAGTCCAGATATATACAACCAACAGCTACACATTTCAATTTATAGCTATCTGTACACTTTTAACCCATGTTGCTTGTATCCTCCAAAAACGCCGCCACACCCATATCAGGTTCTAAATAATTATGCGTTTTTGGAGGATCGGAGCAACATAGCTTTAACCAGACCGACTGATTCGAGCTTCTCTAAGATTATGTGAGTGGGGATAAAAGAAACTGGAACAAGTGAAGTCATGTATGTTTCTTTTTCAATTATCCAAATGGATTTCCTCCCCCAGATGAAAAACTATTCGATGTAGCAGGCGTCGGATATGTGCCATTGGACTGTTGAAGAGGATTTAAGGAAGCGAAGGCGGCTTCATCTTTGCCAATGCTAGTATTCCCTTGTGGTCTGTGATGAAAGATTGAAGTGTTAATTTACATGATAAGAACTTCTTTAGTTATTGAGTAACAGTTGTAACCTGAAAATTACAAGCAAAATTACTCTCTTCAAGTTAAGAGAGCAACTCTTGCTAGCTCCTTCTGGTTGGTGGTTATTCATAGTTAATCAATATAATGTCAAAATTGCACAAAAGAAAAAACATATTGAAGGCATCCGGCTATAATTGCAATCCAAAATATTTACATGGATTCTGGAACAGAAACCTTACGCGGTAAGGGCCATGTTGTTCGGTATCTGTTGTCCTACATATGGTCCTGCAGGAATTATCAGAAAGATAAGATCAATGTCATAATAAACAGTCGGTTGAAACTACGTTCAAGCTGAATCTATCAGAGAGAGCATTCTTTTATTTATTTAATTATGTCTTTAACAGTATGATTTACCTCCTGAAATTGTCATTCCGTAATTAGCTGTTTGTGGAGGCAGTGCAAAAGCATAAGGCAGTTGCTGAGGCTGTACACTTATTGGAGCTGAAAGATTTGGCAGTGCTGCTTGCATAGATAACATGGACGGGAACTAAACGAAAAGAAACTTCTCAAAGTTAGAGATGCAAAATCAAAAATAAGTATATTTTTGCTATTAGTGGAAACATTCAGAGCTTAATAACCTTTCACAGAGACTTGACATACCTCTGGTGCTTGAACTTGAGGGCCGTCTTGACCAATATCGAATGGATTTCTTGATTTTGCTGAGTTGGGGAGAGCTGGAATTGACTGTAACAGCAGTTTCTTTGTATTAGAACATCAATCTATCCCATGGTTTCTAAATTAGTAAAGTCTTGAAATGTGATTTACCATTGCAGCCGGATGGTATTGCGTGCCATACATCATTCCAGGAGGGCGAAATTGCCAACCTGGAACAGCTGGAGGATAGCTTGATGTGAAAAGGTCCTGTATCAATGTTATCCCCATTTAATACTTCTATTTCTATTTCGCGACATCCACCTAATTAAGATGCATAAAGCCAGTTTGAAAGTTACCGCTGGGAGTTCTTTTCTTCCTATAGATTTTGGATCATTTGCTGAACTAGTACTCGGAGCTGTCACAGAGTTAGCTTGATTTGCAGTTGGTGCTTCAGCATTTCCTGTAGGTTTGACTGTATTTTGCTGCCAGCAAGCACGAGAAAAAAAGTTAGTTGCATCTCCAGCACAGTGAGCGTAAAAACAAAGAGTCTGTTCTCAAGCAACCAATTTGGTGACCTCTACTCTTTATATACAACAACTTGCCTCAATTTAAAGCAAGTTGGGGTCGGCTATATAACTCCTCACTGACCATGTCGCTTCATTTAATCTCGTCTCGAACCAATATTATACAAACAAAACTTAATGTACTAGAAGCTCTCTATATTTTCTTTTGGCATATAAAACTCTGACATGACTAAAGGACTCGTGGAAGACATAGGACCTTAAGTAAACATATTAATATTTTTAAAACGAATTCCCAATATAGGGCCTCATACCTAGTCTTATCCCACACCATGGGGTCTGAATATCCCTACTTTTGAAATGTTTCAGAAACTTTTGCGCATTGGCACACTGATGCTAAAGTTTTATTCATTAAGAAACATCACAAAGTTCTCTCACCTGACCATACAAAACGTCAAATGATGCAGTACTTTGTTGAACACTGGAGCTATTGACCCCCATAGGCACTGCAGAATGTTGATTATTGATCGATAGCGTCTGTTGCCCATTGGTGGAATCATTAGGTCCAGGCAATGCTAGGGTACTCTCGGGCGAAGCCACTGTAGGTCCAAAACCACTAGAAACTACAGTTGCAACTGATGTTGCTTCAGTAGCAGCTGGTGTTTCTGTCGACGCAACTGCTGGAGTTGACATGTCAAGAAACAACGATTCCAGTAAATTCACACTGGAAACTTTATCTGCTGAGGAAGGTGGAGTTAAGGTATTGGAAGTCTCTTTAGGTGGATCTGTTTCTTGTGCCTCCTGAGGCTGAGGGTCAGTTTCCAAATCAATCAAGCTACCAAGATTGGCAGCTGCCTTTTCCTTTGCCATTTTCTGCAATTAAGAATTTTAAAGATCAAGAACATTGATAAGAAAATCACACTACATCTAGAACTTAATTTGTCATATGCATTAAATGCAGCATTAGTACTTCACAATCGCCTACGTTATGCCATGCTTTCATTTTATAATGAGAAATCAAATGTAAAACAAGATTACTAGGACATAGCATGAGGTAACAGTTGTCATTTTTCTACCAACAATAGATGACTTCATTTTGCTATGTTATGTCATGGTTTCACTAAGATAAGAATATAGAAATGGGAGATTTTTTCTAAGAACTTAAGTAAGTAGAGAAAATCACAAATCTCACCTCATCCTCAGCAGAGCTTTCACTAACTTTGCCACTTGATTTAGGAGACTCACCAACCTTTAGAGCTATAGCTTTGTCACCCAAGATTTCATTGATCGAACGTATCCTGGGGGGGCTAGAGACCTCCTCTGTGTTTAGTGAAACAGGCGACCTACTTCTACGCCTGGATTCTGATTTTGAGAATATATGATATTGATATCGCTTAACATCACCACTTCCTTCATCTCGGAACCTGTCATCAACTATTTCAAAGCGAGTCGGTAGGCTCCTCTCCCTACTAGATCTCTTACCAGCTTGGTTGTAATTACGGGGACTTCTTCTTTCTTCCATGGAATATGATCTTACGTTCAAGTCATCGCTCCTTTTTCTTGGACTATATTTTTCAAATGCACATCTATCAGCATCTCCAGCTCCAGCTGTAGACATTTCCTTATAGTCATCTTTTATACTCTGCGGAATGCATAACATAACGACATATATCAAAAAGTATGGTGCCAAACTGAGTGACAACTATTTTAATCAGCCTCGACACTTCTACCTAAACACATAACTGTTTTTTTACAAAATCAGCATCAGCACGTAAAAGTGTTTTTCAGCATTTAATGCTTATAAGCTACTTTCAATTAACTCAAGCACATTATCAACTGCAGGATCTAACTAGCAGAAATATGAAATGTTTTTGCTGGACCTGCTACAGCCACAATTGGATACTTACCGTTTTCACTGCGGGAAGTTTGTCGTGGCCCCTGTCACCTGTATATTTCCGGTCCACATAAACATGCTTTATAAAATCTCGAAGTTTATGAAGATTACTGTAACGCAAAAACAATATTAATATTGGGCCATATCGTCGAAAATATACTTTTCTTGTCATTGAGTTACTTACTATAAGAAAATATTACCTGGAATCTGGATATGAATTACGATATGGATCCCACGTTTTGAAGTAGATTTCCTTTGCTCGCTAAAATAATGACAAGCGTTAGCCTCTTATAGAAGGATGATTTACAAGTAAAATGTGCATGTTTAACTGGCAAAATGTGAATGTGTACCTCATTACCCCCAGCTTCCAGAGCACTAACTTCTTCTTCACTAAATCTAGCCATTGACACAGATTTTACCCTATGTGTAAACTCGCGGCTGAAATTGTTTGAACAAAAAATGAATAATCAAATCCATAAAAACTGAAAATAACTTAGCCATTAATAAGATACTTACTGCACCCCGCTGCAACGTGTGCATACAAATGTCCAGAAATTTGTGCAAATATATTGTGGCCCCTGCTAGGAGGAAGCAAATATACAAGACATTAATTAGTAAAGTATAACATGTGCAAAAACAAATTAGAATTGTTTGCTATGCTGCTATATGTCTAAGAGGAATTGATAAATTAACAAACATTTGCTTGGCTAGTTATATACTGGACTCAGTACTAAAAATTATCTACTATATTTTTTACTGCCATATAAAACTTTAACATGACAAAAGAACCCTATAAACGTTGGACCTAAAGTCAGCGTATTAACATGACTAAAACTTAATCCTAACTAACTCTATCGCCTAATCAGGGGCGGAGGTAGTGCAGTAGCTATGGGTTCAGACAAACTCAATAGCTTTTGCTTAAACCTTGGTTTTTGTATTAAAAATACATTAAATATGTAAGAATATTTAGTTTATTCCCAGTAACTAAAACGAGGTAGGGTTCGAAGAGAAGATTCGAACCTATAACCTTCAAATTCTGTCTCCGCCTGTGGCGTATATAGATTTTGTTTCTTTCATTGTGCCTAATTCTAATGTAGAACTCCATTCATTAACACAAGGGCTGAAGGGAAAACCACATACTACTCTAATATTTAATTTAATAATAGAAAAGAAAAGGAATAATATATTGGGCATGAGCTGACATGACAAATTAAATTAATGGTAAGTACATACAGAGAAATAATAACATACCAAACTGTTGCAGTTGATACATCTCTTGTTGTCTGGAAGCCTTAAAAGACCACGAATGATCTTTTCTATTCTTTCCTCTTCTTTCATTCTTTTGAACATTTTTATTGATCTCCTTCAATTTCAATAACCCTTAATTAATTGCCTGTTTATCAACAAGGAAAAAAAAAGGCAAATAAAACTAATTAAAAGACAAAAATGATTAATCTTTCACTCTTAATTGAAATCAACAAATAGACTTGTGTTTCATCATACCCTTTCTCTAACATTTCTTTTTGCGGTTTTGCATGTTATGTTAAAAAAAAAAATAATTAAACTGCTACTTGTTTTCATACTGCTTATTAATTAACTCATTTTTTGAATTCTTGTAGCTACCCAAGAAAAGGAAAGAGCAGAAAATTAAAAAAAGCTAATTACCTGATAAAATTAGAGTAGATTTAATTTATGATTGAAGGGAAATTGATAGAAGATCTTAGATTTTGGAGGGGAAAATCTGTGCAATATGAAATTTGCTGACTTTATTTTCATGGTAGACAAAAGAAATTCTTTCTCTTTTTTTTTTGGGGGGGGGGGGGGGTAGGGGGGGAGGGAGAGGTGAAGAGGGACTTTTGGCGGTTTTGTCGGTTGAGTGACCGTTAACTTCAGCACCATCAGTGTACCAATTTTTCTTTTTCTTTTTTTTTAAGCATGGAAAATTTTGCTAATTTTATAAAAAAACTTATACGCACGTGGTATCTATAGCAAATTAATAAATGGAAACACGGAATGTAAAAACTACTAGTTCTTATAAGCTGGCGTACTCTCTATTTATTTCTTTTTTCTTTCATATTCTTTTTGATTCTAATAGTAGAGATTGTGACGCACTTACCCTGATCTAGTGCATCACTTATAAAATTGTGAAAATCTTGTTGATTGTTCATATTAAATATAATTTGCAAAAGATAGAAGCTAAATAAACTTTATGTTATTAGATATCCGAAATGATTAAGAGTGTATATATGTAGTGACTTATATACTTTGGTAGATTTCTCCTATATCGTCATTGCTTGCTATCATGGATAGAACAATAACAAGCAAACGAGTTGTAATGACCTGACTGATCGTTTTAAGATCTAACCGTCGTTCGCAGATTTGAGGCCATGAGCAGCTTCACTTCAGGTATTATGACTTGTACGTATGGTCGGAATTGAAATTCGGGAAGTCCGGAGTTGATCGTGAGCACGTGATTTTTGCCTCGCTTGAATTACTCCTATAGAATTCTTAAAATTAGGATTTTTCTTTTATTATTCGAGTTTTAGGATTTAATTGCGTAATTTTGTGTGGATTTTTATTTATGTGTGCACTTCTAGTTTTAAATACTTCATAAAAATACAAAAAATATTGCATGGGCATTTAGGATTTAATTTTACATCTTTTTAGACTAATTAGTAATTAGGCCTGTACAAAAATACAAAAAATCACAAAGAAAACTTTGATTTGTTTTGTTTGGTTTTAATTTTAGTTTTTAGGTTTATTAGTTTCCTTTAAATTGGTATTAGTTTTAATTATAGCTTAATTAGGTAGCTTGAATTAATTTTTCAGGTTTAATTTTAGTTTTGCTTTAAGTTGGAAAAAAAAGAAGAAAGGAAATTAAAAGAGAAGGAGTCTTGTTTGTAAAAGACTTAGTTGGGCCATTGTAGAGTTTTATGCACCAGCCCAGTTTAAAATCACCCTTGAACCCATCCAAAACTCTCAACCCAGCCCAAAATCACCCCTGGTCCGGTCCAGACCCCTTCCCCATAAAACGACGTCGTTTGGCCTAAATCAATCCTAGCCGTCTAGGTTGTGTAATCCAACGGATGGGAAGTGGCTTTGGGTTAATATGTAAATGTCCAAACACACTCTTACCCCCCCCCCCCCCCTCCACCGTCTCTCAGACCCCCAAACCCCCAAACCCTAAGTCCGCCGCCTACCACCGCAAACCACCGGCCGGAAATCGCCTCCGCCGGCGGCGATCGGCCAACCACTCCCAAATTCACACAAAAGACTCCTCTCACCCTCCTCATACTCACACCACCACTAATCTCCCTCAATTCTGACTGGAAAGCCCCAAATGTCAAAACCCTAGGGCGCCGCCCTTGATTTCCTCCGTCGTGGCCGGTGGCGCCTCATCCAATCTCAACCAAAATCACACCCTAGACCCACCTTGACCCCATCTCCCCAAATTTCAAACCAGACTCTCTCAAATCCAGCTGAAACCTCTCGAATCCTAGATCTAGGGTTCATGTTCAAAGTCCAAGTTGAAGTTCAGGCCGTGCAAGGGTTTCCCAGTGTTCCGTTGGTTCTCAAATGATGTTATTTGCTTGTTCTTGGCAAAGAATAAGCTGACAACATTATTTGGGAATCAAATGAGAAAGTCAGTCAAGTTAGAGGCCTGAATCGGTAAGTTTCATCTTATTTCTTTATTTGTTTTTCTCTTTTCATCTCCTGTTCTTTTTCTCCGCATAGTTGAATTTTCTTTTGATTGAAATCGGCTTCCCCTTCATGTTTATTTCTTCGTCATGATTAATAATGGTGCCTTGATTTTTGCTTGCCAGTTTTCTTAGATTCTTTTGTTAAGTTTTTAATTTCTTCTTCTTTGTTGGTATTGATAACATGATTCTGTATTTTGATTAATTTTTGTTTGTTTCTTAATTTTCTATTTGACTGATAATTGCTAATAGTAGTCTTTAATTCTGATTTTTAGTAATTAATTCAAGCTTAAAATAGGTTTAGATGGATTTGCAGTTCAATTTGGGGGTCTGGTTATAATTGGATTTGTTTGGTTTATTGCTGAACACTTCAAGCCTTGGTAATTAACCATGGTCAATCTTTGACCAAGTTAAAAGGGTTGGGGGTTAGTTTAACCTAGGTTAGTAGTTTCAGGGTTAATATAGGTATTTTAATCATAGAACCTTGCAGTAACTGAAAATAGAACCCCCTAGAACTTTCTAAATTGGGGTTCTAATTTGAAATTCAGAAACTAAGTAGTATAACTTGGCCAACAAGTCATAAAATCCGGGACCTAAGGGGCAAAATAAAATCTGAGGGTTGCCCTATGGCTTGGCCTATAAAAGCATATCATTCTTGCCTTTGAAGGCAAGAATAGAAGGACTGAAAAATCCTGAAAAGTTCCAGGCGGCTGAGATTTCTAAATACTGTTCCATTAAAATTTCCTTGAGATCTTTGAGGTATTCTTGTTTAAAATGAGCCCTGAATATTCAGGAGTCAAAAATGAGCTAAACTAGGTTTGATATTCGAGTATTTGGGGGTCGGCTTTGTTTGGATTTTGATGACTGGTTCTCATTGAGATATTTTTGGTTCAAGTTTGGGTTTAATTCGATCTTCTTCAATTATTTCTAGGTTGATTTCTCTTGCTGAACCCTGTCCCTGGTGCTGCTTCTTTCTACTCATTTATTCCCTATTTTGCTTTTCTTGTGAACTCCAGGTACACGTTCTGAGTCTGCTTTGATGTAGCTCTCAAATTGGAAATGGAATAAAAGCTATGCATGGTTTCTCCTGATATGTGTTCATTTGGTTCATTGTATTTCAAGTAGTTTTACTGTTTTAGTTAAATCTTCACACTGTAATTAATTATGGACTGTTTGAACTATATCATGTCTTATCTGTTTATTTTAGTTCTAGTAGTATAGATTAGTCTTGCAAGTCACGTTAGTTTAAATGTAGTAATGAGTTTGGAATTTATCAAGTCTACTACTGTCATTGTGTATGAATTTTCAAGTACCTCAAAGGTTTATTATCATGTTTCAAATGTTAGTTTGAGTTTTTTTTTTTTTACTTGAATTTGAAGATAATTGCAGGATTACTGGGTGTGTTTGTATTAGCCTTATTTCTGTGGTTTAATAGATGATTGAAATAATTCCATGTTTTGGGTGCTTAATTTCTATAACTTAGTCTTGAAGACATTTGACTAGAGTTTTAAGGTCTGTAAAAAGATAAAATCCAATCATCCATGCATTTTCTTAGTTTTTTTTTAACGTGCATATCATTGTTGTTTTGCCCATTATTTGCATATTTAAAAGTGAAGTCTAAAAGAGTTGGCCTATGATTTGAATCAACAGGCGAAGGTCTTGAACTAGAGAACCAAGTCTTTAGTTTCATGTCCATTATGTTTGCATTACAGCCTGGGTTGTTTGGGCCATAAGGACTAAGCTTAATGTTGGCCCATTTGCATAATAACAGGCCCGAATACTATTAGTCCATTGAATCGATTTATTTTGCTAAGTTTTGGGCCTGTAGGGACTTGATCTTGAGTCCCAGCTTCAATGTTGCTTCTGAATTGGGCTCATCCTGGGCCCAAACTCTGGACAGCTTTATGAACAGAGCCGGAAGCGTTTTCCCTTCCCCTAGGCCAGTTTTCTCGCATATTTCTCTTCATTTTGGCTGGGCTGGTTCCAAGCCCAACGTATTGGTAGTCCTGGATCATTTTTGGATTTAATGGTTTTAAAATTGAATTGTAGGCCTTGGGCCTTTCAAGTTAAGTGGCAGACTCGAACTAAGGGCTTCTTCAATAATGGAGATCGTCCTTGTTTGAGTTTGAATTTGATCTTGGGGCCCATATTTTCTTGAATACTTTGATGTTAGTTAATTCGTAATGTCAATTAATTAAGTTTTTTTTTTCTTAGAGATAAACTTTAATAGATAACAATAGTGCATCTATAGGACATCCTTTTAAAATAAACAGAGGTGCGCCGCGCCAAACAAAATTCACAAATTGTGTGGCCCTCTTTAATTATACCTTTTAAAATTCTTAGAACACGGGACGTTCCATTTAGCGAATTTTCATGGCCTCAAGCAAAGTTAACAACGCGTTAGTTGCTTTAGGCGCGTTCTTTTATAATTTTACCTTCCTAAACTCGGGTGTGCATTTCATGTGACCCAAATCCAAATCCTAAAATGTTGAATAAAATATATGTCGGATTGCGGGTGCATTTCATGTGACGCGATCCAAAGACACGTTTTAAACGACGTTCAATTTTCCTTAAAATTAATTAAAAGCGGTAAATAATTTTAAATGGCACTATAGGATGAACATGTTTTAAAATCAGATATTAGGCCAATTATGATAGTTTAAGCGGCCGTGCTAGAACCACGGAACCCGGGGGTGCCTAACACCTTCCCTCGGGTTAACAGAATTCCTTAGTCAGAATTTCTGGTTCGCAGACTTCACTTGGAAAGTCAAAAATTTTCTCGATTTGGGATTCAAGATAAAACCGGTGACTTGGGACACCAAAAGCCAAACCTATCCCAAGTGGCGACTCTGATAAATAAATAATCCCGTTTCGAATAATGTCACTTAAAGTGAAAAAACTCCCTTATACACTATCCTTCCGTGGGTGGGTGTATGAAAAAAGGAGGTGTGATAGCTCTGACGACTCCACTGGGGATCCAAACTCAGAACTTCGGTTCAGGGTTTAAGAATTCGAGCTTAGAGTAAATGTTATGATTGGCTTTATTTATTATCTGATTTTCCTACATG